AAACAGTTCCACTATGTTTCTATTATGTACTACAATGAGAAACACTGTCAGTTACTGAATTAATAGTTTAAATGATAAGAGTTAGTTTTATAAAATGTTCAAAATGCCCGTGTAGGGATGGCTCGGATTGTTCAAAGCTTACGTAAGAAACAGTTCCACTATGTTTCAATTATGTACTACAATGAGAAACACTGTCAGTTACTGAATTAATAGTTTAAATGATAAGAGGTAGTTTTATAAAATGTTCAAAATGCCTGTGTAGGGATGGCTCAGATTGTTCATCGAAATGGTATTTTAAATATCTCCTTAGTAGGTCATCAGAACTTTACAATACTATACAGTGTTTCCTTTTATAACAATATCTATGTAATGGCTGAGTAACAAGTTCTGGGAATGTCTGGAAATATCATAACAAAAAGTTGTTTTTCTTTCTTCTGCTTCATTCTTATTACATGATAACTCAAAAACCAAAACAATGTTGTCAACCAATTTCACTGTGGTGACATAGTTTCAAACGGAGTATCCGCTTTTATAAATATTATTAATAACCAGTAATAAGTAAAAATAATAATAATTCTTGTGTAAACAATGTTATCATTACCCTTAAAAACAACGGAAACAAGATAGTGGGATGGCTTTTGCATTATCCATAAATAATAGCAGAGGCACACGCTGTAGTAGAATGTTAACAGACAAAAATAGGATAAACTCAACTGTGATTGAATAGTTATATATATGTTGCTATATGTTAATTCTTAGTTATGGGTAAATATTTCATCAAATATTTTTTATTGTAGCTATAAACTAAAGAAGTTTATTGCTGTGGGGATGATAACCATTGGGATAAGTATCTGTACGGTGGCTTCAAGAAGAGATGTGGTAAGTGTTTTTAATTTAGCGACATCTTTAGAAGTTCTCAGAGAATAAATTTCTATCCTCTTGTTTGTATCCGAAAGAATTTATCTGTTGTTTTCTGAGATCATTATTCACAAAATGAAGAAAAGTTTAGTTATTGTTTAGCTTGGAATACGTTCAAAGTGTAAGTTATATTCCATTCTTTATTTGATGTTACTTTCATTTACAGTATTGGTTAAATGTTTAATGTATTTATTCATTAAATATATATATATTGAAATATTTTTGATATTATGTCAACACATATTAGTGCGAGTGAGGATACCCTGCTAATGAATCATTGTAGTCTAATAGTGTGGGAGTGAGGATACCCTGCTAATGAATCATTGTACAATGATTCATTAGCAGGGTATCCTCACTCCCACACTATTAGAATAGTCTAATAGTGTGGGAGTGAGGATACCTTGCTAATGAATCATTGTATTCTAATAGTGTGGGAGTGAGGATATCCTGCTAATGAATCATTGTATTCTAATAGTGTGGGAGTGAGGATACTCTGCTAATGAATCATTGTATTCTAATAGTGTGGGAGTGAGGATACTCTGCTAATGAATCATTGTATTTTAATTGTTTTTGTTTGAAGACAGTGCCTACTTCTTAGTATACTGGTGTATTGAATTATCTGAATTAATTTTTATTACCAACTGCTAAAGAGTAGTGTTAAAGGTGTGAAAGCATTACCAACCACTGAAGAGCAGTGTTAAAGGTGTGAAAGCACTACCAACCCACCAAAACCAGAAATAGAAACATATAATATTTTTGAGCCATATTCAAGCTAGCTTTCACACCTTTAACACTGCTCTTCAGCAGTTGGTAATGCTTTCACACCTTTAACACTGCTCTTTAACAGTTGGTAATGCTTTAACACTGCTCTTCAGTGGTTGGTAATGCTTTCACACCTTTCAGCCAGTGGCTCTTCTTATAGCACAAGATGTACAGGAGGCAATCAAAGTCTTGCACTCTTTAATATTAACAAGTAACCCTGGGTTATGCGCAGTAATAACTGGTAAATCTTCCGTGTGTGTGTGTGTGTCAGAATATAACTTTATGATTTTTATCGGAGAAGAGAAGATTCAAATGATGTAGGTGGGTTGTGCTAACATCATCTTTTATTTTTATTCAGCAGTCCAGCCAAGTGAATGTAAGTGAAGAATCCACGTTTGAAGACTTACAGTTTTGGCTCATTGGTTTGTATAAAACTGTTCAGTTTTGTAAAAAAAACCTCCTTGAAAGGTGATTTTTTGGGTGTAAAAAAGATGTTTACATTTTTACATAAAGCCTAACAATATCTTGTTCTAAGCAGTTATTAAAACAATATTGTAAAGATGTGGATATAATATGTTAGTTGATACTAAGATCTTAAAAGTTAAATTAGTTACATAAATGGTACAATGTTGATATCTTGCATATATTCTCTAAGGGCTGAAGAATAAAAGTATACTTTATCTTGTATACATAAACAAAAAAGAAACATGATAATATACTGAAGCAAAGGGTTTGTTTTCTTTGACAACATTTATTATAAAGTCTTAAAGATTTAAAAAGTGTTTGAATTTGCAATGGAATAGCAAGAGTTTAGTACTACTGTCGTCCTATTTTGCCATGGTAACAACAAATATCTTGTTTTTGTAAGGAGAGGTTAGTAACTGTGGTATGAACTGTTTTATGTCTGTGTTCAAGATTATAATGTTAAACTTTAAGTACAAAGAAACATCTTCTCCAGGATACATTTAATGTTAGCATTACTTGTGTAAAAATGGCATATATGGTCTCATCTGGACTTTTGTGCACCTCTTCTAAGATATCAATCTCATTTTCTTTTACCCTGAATAGGAGATTTGTATATATATATGTGTGTGTGTGTGTGTGTCTTAAAAATAATCGTAAGAAGAATAGGTGATTCTAAATATTTACCTTTTTAATTCACAGAATTTTTAAATGATTTTACTTTTTGTCACAAAATTTTTATCACTCGACCTTCTACGTGTTATAAGAATAGATGTTTTATAACGAATTTCTATATAGATTACTTGCTTCTCCATTTTTGTTCTAACGTTAGTGTTAAACTGTATGTTACCAGTCTGCACTTCTCTTCTTTAACTTGAATTAATTTGTTCATTTTAGGTTTGTTCTTACTGACATTTGCACTGTTTGCGTCAGCATACATGGGAATATATCAAGAGATCTTGTACAAAAAATTTGGCAAACAACCAAGAGAAGCTTTATTTTATTCGGTGGGTTTTTTTTTTTAATTGCTAGAGTGGGTCAAGTAAACAAAACCAAAATGAGACTAGATGGATACAAAATATTTTGAAAAACAAGTCATTTTAGTACTGTAAAATATTAAGCCTAGGGATATTTTTACCTAAAAGTGAGATCAGCCTTGTTCCAATCTCTACTGTCAGAATGATAGCCTTTTGTTTAAATCAGACATCCTTTTGGACTTAGAGAGAAATATAAAAATGTATGTACGTACTATAACATAGTATTTTAAAGTTTTTAATATTTTCTGTTTTTGTCTTTTAGCATGCTCTTCCCTTGCCTGGATTTCTACTGTTAGCAAAGAATATATATACACACGCTGTGATTTTCAGTAATTCTGGTAAGAACACATTCATCCTTTCTTGATTTCAGGAAATAATAATACAAGATAAATAAAAGATATTAATGTATAATGTTGAACAGTTTTCTATTGGATTAAATGTCACCAAAGATAGATTATACCCACTTTTAAAAAAACGAAGTTTCAAGACGCTTGAATGGTTAGTGAAAGAAACTTTATTACAAACGTAAAACAAGCTTATATCATCATCTGATAATGACACGTGCTTGTCAAAATGTTGTTTGTATGTTTCCTTCACTACCCATTCAAGTCGTCTCCAAACTTCGATATAATGAATATTTATTAATATGTTATTCAGTCTCCTCATTAGACACCGTGTTTCGGAAGGAAGCCATTATGAATAATCTAAATAGTGGGTAAATTTGTCAGTTAATGAACAATAATGCTTGAACTTAAGTGTAAGCACTGCTCTTTAAACTAACCAAGAAATATGAATGTTCCTGGATTATTCAGTATGATAAACATTTCCGAAGTACACAAGTTCTGTTTATCCACTTTTTTGACCTTTATTTATTTATTAAACCATGGCTTTTCATGTATGAACAGTTTTTCACATCTTTACAGTAATTAGATTTTAATAATATACAGTCATTTCAGTGAAAGATTCTCTGTATCTATCTGAATATCATAATTTTATGTTCGAAAGAATATAATCCCTTGAAGTTTCTAAAACATGCTATTGTAATGTTAATTATATATAAAGAACAATCAGAATTATTGTTGTGGTTCATTTAGCAAAAATACAGTTCCGGACATGGCCCTAGTGGTTAGCTTGGCTAGACTGGGGTTCTTGGTTCCTGTCCCATTGCCTTATTGGAGCTGTGGGTATAAGAGTGATTGGTCAAATATTACTGTTCAATGAGGAAAGAGTAGCCCAAGAGTTGATTGTGGGTGCTGTTGGCTTGCTGCCTTCCCTGTAGTTCAGTTCCAGTCCAAAGTTAGGGATGGCTATATGCAGATATCCATTGTATAGCATACTGAAACAAACAATGAAAACACATGTATAACTTTTATTTTTTATCTATGTGTAGAACCTGTACAAGTTCCAATTGCTGGAGGAATTCCAAAGCTATGGCTTTATTTACTTGGAAATGTTATAACACAGTATCCTTTTTAAGTTGATGTAAAAATGTAATTTTATTAAGTTTAAGTTGCTTTGGAAGTATTCAGTTTCAATATTTCTTTATCTATGTTTGTCTATGATAAGAGGTTATTATTGTATAATAACAAACGTGATCCTGTCAGTGATGTACGAACAACTAACATGCTGTTAAGTAGTGTTTTTAATAAGTTCTTAACTCGCCTCCTTGCAAGCTTCTGGTGAGTTTTTTTTGTTTCAGGTTAAATTTAATCGGCTTTTTCAAAACAGTTATACTCATTTCTATAGAATATGAAAAGAAATAAAGAACTTATAAATATCCTTAAATGTTTCAGAACAAGTAAAAAAAATCTAATTTATAGACAATTAGAAAAATAAAGTACATTAACAATACATATATTTTTATTGGAGTTATACAGATGTGTTTTTACATCTTGTTTTAAGTGTGAAACTTAACAGAGATTTGATATATTTCCTTAAACTGGAAGTCGCTTAAACTCCTTGATATAACTTACAGATACGTATGTATTAGGTCCGTGTATTGGATGACAACCGAATTATCATCTTTGTCTGTTACATTAATTGTTACACTCAGGAAGTTTTTGTCATTGCTTCTGTCAATATTTTATTTCCAAAATCCATTCACTTTTGTTCATTGGACAGGAACCATTCTTGTCTTTGGTGGGACACTTGTTTTTGTAGACCTTGCTGATGTTTGGAAAGAGTACAAAAGTAAACAACAGAAAAGTGACTAAAATAACAATGATGTGGATTCTAAGAAGACTCGAGAAACAAAAAGTACAGTATACATTTCAATCTCAAACATTTAAAACTACAGCTTAACGTTGTGACTGTGCAATATATTTCCAGTACTTTAGTGGTAAGATATTGATGTAAGAAAAACATTTATGGAATTCCCTTAATATCGGTTAAGGTTTATCGATTTTCTCCATTATCATTTATAGTATTCGGCTTTTTCTAAACAATATATCCTAGTGTAATAGAAAAATGATGCATGAATAATTTATGTCAAATTTACCTCATTACTAAGAAGATTCAGAAGAAAGGTAGCCCCATCATGTTTGTAGATGTTGGAGAAATTATTATAATTTAATGCAGCCCTCATGAGATAAACTTAAGAGGTCAAAAGTTGCAAGGTATGTTAAAAGTAAAGGACATTTAAGGCCCTAACTTTTATGTAGACAAGAACTGTTTTCTAAATGGGGTTAGGCATAGTCACTTAGTTACCAGCTATCAAGGTAGTCAGCACCCTGGTAATGCAGGACAAACTCCAGCTATATACCATAGTATATTTACCTAGTTACAATCTTTATCTTAAATATAGGCTTATATGGCTTCTTTATCTCATAATGTTTGATACTTTTCATAATTAGAGTTGTGGACAACATGAGAGAATAACTTGTATCTTTCACAACTACTGTGGATGAGAGTTGGGTCCATTATTACTCACTCCGCAGCTACTGACAGCATAGAAAATGATGGTGTACGTTTTCATAAGAAATCATATAACTATTAAATATTTATAGAGATATCACTTCAGTACCTAAGTTCTTTGTCAAAAACGTAACCTAACTTGGCGATATAGAAGTTTGTTTTATCAAGTTGTAGGTGTATTTAACCTCGGTGCATCAGGCCCTCCAAAGTAATGCAAAAAATCTTATTAATTTTTACACCTATAGCCAGTCAGTACAGATGGGCCCTGTAAGAAAATTGCACCGAGTAGTTTGAAGTGTTAAAAACACATCTGAGGTGTAGGCATGGTATTGTCAAACAGGAAGTTGATGTTTTCTAGATGTATTTAAATCACTGAAGGAAAAGTGACATCTACACGTACAACACTGCTCTTTAGAAATTCCGACTATCTTGGATGAAGAAAAAACAAGATCTTTCACATTTATAATATTTAATTACAAAAGTCCGAAATAGTCCACAATTTATATGTATCAGAATAATTTTGGGTAATCATCAAGAATTTACAAAACTGTTGAAAATCATGGACTAAATTAATATTTATGAATTTTTACTTTTAAAAAAATAGGACAAAAATGACAATATTGTGTCTTAAAGATTAAACTTGTAAGGAGGATTTGTTATAAGGCAAGATTTGAATCTTTGGCTTAAAGCAAAACTTGTTTTTAGTAGCCTTTTTTTTTTACACAATATTCTTGTTGCTATGAATTGTTTTGTTTTTACATTCAGAAATGCAACTTGCCTCTTTACAGAACAGTTAGCTATTACCTTGAACAATATCACAGTATTCTTGTTGCTATGAATTGTTTTGTTTTTACATTCAGAAATGCTACTCGCCTCTTTACAGAACAGTTAGCTATTACCTTGAACAATATCACAATATTCTTGTTGCTATGAATTGTTTTGTTTTTACATTCAGAAATGTTACTCGCCTCTTTACAGAACAGTTAGCTATTACCTTGTGCCAGTGATGAAAAGATGTTTGAGAACCAAGCCTTTAACAAGTTCCCATAGTAACGTGTACTTTAACAGTAATAATAGAAAGATGACACGTTCGTCATACCTAGTAATCCACATGAACACTAGCATTTCCACAAAGGCTCATTCTTTCTTTGGCACTGCTTGGCTTCAGACGTGTTTATTTTCATTAAGAATTACTGAATTTTTGCACTTATTCTTTCAAACTTTTTGTTAACATTCATAGTGTAGTCTTTTTTACCTTAATTTTCTTGATTTTGAGAAAGAAAGATACAAAATTTTAAACATTTCAATTATAAATTCCGATTCAACTTGTGTTAATTTGGTTTCTTCTCTTCATCAAATTTGGAAACGTGTTCCCAGGTTTTGATAATTACTCTCCAAGTTCGTTGTTATGAAAGCCTGTGTATCACGAACATACCAGGTCAACTTAAAACAAAAAAATGAATTGACTTGACTATAAAATTGTGTATCCACATTTCTGAGACCCTGAAACTGTTACTTTTTTAATAGCAACTGGAGACAGTCTGATGGTCAGTAATATTACTGTCATTGTGTACCATTTAATCTAAAGATCCGGGATTCCCAGCCTCTTACTTCTGTTGCTTCAGCTTAGCCTGACCCATCTTTTGATAATTTTAACTTGCTTTTCCCATGACCAGTTTTTGTTCTGGTCCTTCCCTTCCCAACAAGGAATAGGTAACCACATTTTCATACTTTGCCGAGATATTTCCATTGGTATGTAACTTTTTTTCTCTCTCTCCTGTTGTTTTTTGCTAAATCTTTGGCTACCCTGCTGCATGAACCTCTTCCCTTCCCCTAATATTCAAGTTCATGATACTAACTTTTGTCATGTGACCAGTATGAGAGATGGGGATAAGGCTAGTTTGTTTTACCACATTGTGTATTCGTTGGCATAGTCAACTGGTTAAATTTCACTTAATGTAGTTTAAATAGCACTCATTCACTTGCTCATTGTTATGGAAAAAGTTAAATTTTATAAACTTTTCTTATTTTACTGTTTAATTACGTTATAAATTTTATACTTAAATGCTAAATTATTAGTTTTACATTTTCTGTTAACTTATTTTTTTGTCATGATTTCATACAGATCCTAGCTATCTTTTCCTCTGAAACCTTAAGATCTAGTTCTAGGGTATTTCATCATGATTTTTCTTCCTTCTTTGAGGTTTAGTCCCTTGAATCTCTTCTCCCAGCTTGGGGTTTCCTTCTTTGTCTTTATCTTGCCTCTGCCCCCCCCCCCCTCCTTCTTGATGAGGTTCTTTATCCACTGGAAACAATCTAATGCAACTCATCAGCAGTATCCTTTTCTCAGTCCAGAGTGTCCCTTATCCTCTGGAGCCAAATAGAGTAACCCATTCTCATCCTCTCAATACTTTCTAACATTCCCCTCAAAAGGCTGGATGCTACCCCTTAGTTTTAGTAACCCATTCTCATCCTCTCAATACTTTCTAACATTCCCCTTCCTCCCTCAAAAGGCTGGATGCTACCCCTTAGTTTTAGTAACCCATTCTCACCCTCTCAATACTTTCTAACATTCCCCTTCCTCACTTAAAAGGCTGGATGCTACCCCTTAGTTTTAGTAACCCATTCTCATCCTCTCAATACTTTCTAACATTCCCCTTCCTCCCTCAAAAGGCTGGATGCTACTCCTTAGTTTTAGTAACCCATTCTCATCCTCTCAATACTTTCTAACATTCCCTTCAAGAGGCTGGATGCTACTCCTTAGTTTTAGTCTGGTGGAAGCTCCACTCTCCCACTTTGTATACTGACTCAGAAGACCTTTGAATCACATGTGCTGTCCCTGTCTTTTTACTATCCACCTCCTTTTCCTGTCATCTACAGTTCCTGTTCATCCTTAGCACCTGGAGGAGATTGTGCACTCTCTCTAGGATATTAAGGCCATGGACCAGGTCCTCAACCCTAACTTTGAGTGTTATTCCTCCAGTCCTTGTTCCCACGATGATGGGCTAATGGTGACCTATCCATTGTTCTAGAATTTTTCCTTTTAGGTTGGCTATTGCCTGGTCTGTTTCCAATCAAGTCCTCAGGGTATTCAAATGGAGGATACCTTCATTGGGCTTACACTTCTCTACTATATGGATGTCTGGCTCCTTCTTGCCCTGTCCACATCCTTGGCTGCAACCTCCATTCTCCTTTGGAATGCATCTCGTTTGGGTTGACTGGTCAAGCTCTTCAAGTCTGTCTTACACCTACCTAGTATTTGATTCACTGAATAAAGTTCCAAGATGATGCAATTAATATTTTTGTCATCTCTCATCCAATTTGTCATCTCATGACTGCTCTTAGCTCTAGCCGTTGATGGCTCCTGGATGAAATCATACAGGCGAGAATGTGGAATACTCTTACATAATTGTGTTAGGCCCAGCATGGCCAGGTGGTTAGGAAGCTCGACTCGCAATCTGTGGGTCGCGGGTTCGAATCTCCATCACACCAAACGTGCTCGCCCTTTCAACTGTGGGGGCGTTATAATGTGACGGTCAATCCCACTATTTGTTGGTAAAAGAGTAGCCCAAGAGTTGGCAGTGGGTGGTGATAACTAGCTGCCTTCCCTCTAGTCTTACACTACTAAATTAGGGACAGCTAGCGGAGATAGCCCTCGTGTAGCTTTGCACGAAATTCATAATAAACCATAATTGTGTTTTATTACTTATGTAACATTACTGTTTAATTTGCCCATGTGTTTTGTTTTTCTCCAGTCTCCTGAAAGGTGAGTTGTTGATTATTCCTTTTACTGCTCCCTCTTTACCGCTATCACATTTCTATGAATATATATATATACTGCTGCCTTTATTCACAGTGACCCATTGGACAGTCTATGAGTACGGAACTTGATGCAGGTGATAAAAACTTTCTGTTTGTTCCAGTGTTCTCCCCTGTTCAAAACCCTCTTCCCTTTCCTTCTAGTGGAGTAATGGGAAGATCCTCGCATCCCCAGTCGCAAGCTGCTGGGGAAGTTGTGATGGAGAGTTCCCCTTTGGGTCAGTGTAATTCCACTGGTATAAAACATACCCCTCAATTGGAAGAAGAGCTGGGGAGTTTACCTGGAAGTGTAGTATGGGCCACCTCCTTGGGAAAAAGATCAAGGATGTTCTTAACTTGGTAAGTATTTCACATAACTATTTCTCTAATACTGCATGGCCCGACATATTACCATACTACACAATACTCAGTCAGCCACCTGAAACATAATGGCTGGTTAAGGAACCTTACATTCTGCCCAACTATACAACACTTTAGTAGCATGTAGAGGGTTCTTTTTTACAATACCTTGTGCTCTATCACCTTTACTGGGTGAAGAGCATTACCTATGTGAGAATGATGCAGTCTCCGACCAAGTGATGCCCTACAAGTTGCCTTCCTTCCCTAGTGGGTAACACACACTCCACGAATTTTCAAGTTTCTGACATTAACTTCAGAAAGAAGTTTGTCTCTCTTATCTACAACAGGCCCTCCACAGTCTTATAAATGCCACTCATCTCTCCACAGAACATACAGCTAGAATGCCACATTGATGTTGTAGATAAAAGAGACAAACTTCTGGCATTCTAGCTGTATGTTCTAACTTCAGAAAGAAGTTTGTCTCTTTTATCTACAACAGGCCCTCCACAGTCTTATCAATGTGGCATTCTAGCTGTATGTTTTAACTTCAGAAAGAAGTTTGTCTCTTTTATCTACAACGGGCCCTCCACAGTCTTATCAATGTGGCATTCTAGCTGTATGTTCTAACTTCAGAAAGAAGTTTGTCTCTTTTATCTACAACAGGCCCTCCACAGTCTTATCAATGTGGCATTCTAGCTGTATGTTTTAACTTCAGAAAGAAGTTTGTCTCTTTTATCTACAACAGGCCCTCCACAGTCTTATCAATGTGGCATTCTAGCTGTATGTTTTAACTTCAGAAAGAAGTTTGTCTCTTTTATCTACAACAGGCCCTCC